AAGGTAAGGAAAAGTGGTTCCTGAACATGGAGACCTCTCTCTGGAGGAGAGGGCTATGTTAGAAGCCATGACACAGAGGAGCACAGCTATTTCCAAACCACTGCAGGACATGAAGAAAGGCAAGGAAATAAACACCCGGACCTCTTTTCTTTCCCACTCAGTTTTCTCCTAGTGGCCTTTGCCATTTGCAAAAAGCAACCAAGGATTCTGGTTAATACAGTGCATAGAAGTCAACTTCCTAGGACATTCAGCAGGGTGGGAGGATGGAGCTGAGTTAGAAGGGTAAAGAATATGCCTTTTAGCAGGCTTCCAGCTCCTGCAGTACTGGAAAGGGCACAGAGAGGAAGCTATCAACAGAAAAAATAGGGTACTCTTAGGACCACCAAAATTTAGCACATGGGCACTCTTCTCGAGAAGGTGACCTGCAGAGGGGTATATTACATCAACCACTATGCTCTACTTCTGCTTAAATATTTAGTAAATTTTCCTAAATTTTCCACTGAAGAATGACGCTTAAAATGTGACTATTATATACTTGTACTCCTAGACAGGGAAATTCCTCAGGAACCCCTTGCCTTTTATCTTAAAATATGGCAAGCTTACATTCTACTACTAGTATCTATATTGCTTTTATTATAAAAACCTCCTTTCCAAACACTGAAATAAAATGCCTCTAGGTGTCCAATTGTAATTCCTAACACACCTCTGCCTATCCTAAGGGTTGTGTATATTTTCCTTTGAGAAGCATGTGTTTAAGTGAGCTCATTATTGGCACTGCTGCCACTTTTAAGGGACAAAGAACTCCCATTCTGATGTTTTAATCCTCCTAGGAACACACAGGACATAACACCACCCATCAACTATGGAGGCACACCCACGTAGTTATATGCATAAAACTCCAAATGATAGGTTATTCCTGGAGAGAGGAGGAGCAGGTAACTGGGGGTAGGTCTTTTACTGAATCTGCAAGGAAAAAGAAAAACTAAGAAAAAGAAGTTAAAGAAACATGAACAGTGAAAGGACAACAAACTCACAGTTATTAACAACCACACCTAAAACGAAAGCAAACTAAAAGGACAGCTAGATCAGGAGTGGAAACATAGAAATGAAGATCTCATGGAGGGTTAGCAACAGGGGAGTGGGAGGAGGAGAAGGGGGGAGAAGGTACAGAAAATAAGTAGCATAGACAGTAGATAGAAAATAGATGGGGGGGCAAGTATAGCATGGGAAATATAGAACCTAAAGAACTTGAGACACATGGTCATAAACTAAAGGAGGGTAATGGTGGGGACGGGGGGTAGGGTGGAGGGGAATGAAAGGGGGAATAGAACAACTGTAACAGCATAATCAATAAAAAAATTTAAAAAAAGTAATAAAGACTTCACCTAAACCCCCCACCAAAAAAAAAAAAAACTTGAAACTAACGTAGGGAAATAGTATTATGTGTAAGGTGTTGGTCACAGGTGTGGCATTACACCCTGAAGTCAGCAAACGCCACAAATAAAGGCTCCCAGGCACCACTATCCCTGTCCCAGGATTGCTCATTGTTAAATTTGCTGGCATACCACTGAGTTTAGTAAAGCAGCTTAAGGCCCTGAATTGGGGCTCTGTGGTTCAAGAATTGAGTCCACTATTCATTGAGGTATGATGTATGAGGTCTGTCCAGAAAAAGTCAAACCATTTTCTTTTTTCTCTGTTGTTCAAGTAAGTTGTCTCCATTCCCCCTCCACCACCGCCACTATCCCTTGCCCCGCCCACCCCACCTCCCACCCTTAATCCTACCCACCTTTGGCTTTGTCCATAGGTCCTTTATACGTGTTCCTTGACTACCCTTCTTTCCCTCCTTATCCCCTTTGCCTACTCCCCTCTGGTTACTGTTACTTTGTTCCTTATTTCAATGTCTCTGGTTATATTTGTTTTGTTGATTACGTTCCACTTATAGGTGAGATCATATGGTATTTGTTTTTCACCACTTGGCTTATTTCACTCAACATAATGCTCTCCAGTTCTGTCCACACTGTCCCAAAAGGTAGGAGCTCCTTTTTCTGCTGAATAGAATTCCACTGTGTACATGTACCAGTTTTTTGACCCACTCATTTACTGATGGACACTGAGTTTGCTCCCAGCACTTGGCTATTGTACAATGTGCTGCTATGAACATTGGGTACATAGGTTCTTTCAAATTTGTTTCAGGATTCTTAGGGTATAATCCCAGCACTGGAATTGCCAGATGAAAAGGCAGTTCCATTTTGTTTTTTGAGGAAATTCCATATTGTTTCCCACAGTGGCTGCACCAGTCTGCATTCCCACCAACAGTGCACTAGAGTTCCCTTTTCTCCCCAACTTCACCAGCACTTGATTTGTTAATGATGGCCATTCTAACTGGTGTGGTGTTTTAATTTGCATCTCCCTGATGGCTAGTGATGCTGAGCATCCTTTCGTATGTCTCTGTGCACTGTGTGTCCTCCTTGGAGAAGTGTCTGTTCAGAACACAGGCAGAAAAATCTCAAATATTCCATGCAGCAATATTTTCACCAATATATCCCCTAGAGCAAGGGACATACAGAATAAACAAATGGGACTTCATAAAAGTGAAAAGCTTCTGCACGGCCAAAGAAAACATCAGCTTAATGAAAAAGGAGCCAACCACATGGGAAAATATATTTGCCAATGATACCTTGGACAAGGGATTGATCTCCAAAATATATAACTCACACAACTCCACTTCAGGAAGACAACCCAATTAAAAAATGCGCAAACAACCATTGTTTATATAAGAACGATTTGTGTGACATCCGTGTTACCCAGCAGCCAAGGAGAGTGGACTGGAATGCATGTGCGAACAATGAAATCTTCACTGTACTAGTCAGGGGGGCAGTAGACACAGCTCAGTGAGCATGTGCACTGCGTGGCCATCGCATTCAAAATGAGTGGCTAGAGCAACCAATCTGCATCAAATTTTGTATTAAGCTTGAACATTTCTTCACGGAAACTATTCAGATAATTCCGAAGGCTGCAGCTATGAGCAAATGATTGGCAACTTCATCATGGCAACACACCTGCTCATGTATCAATCTCAGGCAGTTTTTTGGTGACACATCAATCACCAAGGTGACTTAGCCCCACTACAGACCTGATATGGCACCCTGTGATGTCTGGCTTTTCCCAAAACTGAAATCACCTTTGAAAAGGCAGGGATCTCAGTGTATGAGATTCAGGAACATATGACAGAGCAGCTGATGGAACTTGGGAGAACTGGGTAAGGTCCCAAGGTGCCCACTTTAAAGGGCTGGACCGAGGCATCATTGTTCTAGGCAGTGTTTCTTGAATCTTCAGCAAGTGTCTCTATTTTTCCTATTACATGACTGGATACCTACCTTGTCGATAGACCTCATAGAGCAAGGTGCTTAATATCTGAGGACCTTATTTTCTCATTAGCAAAACAGGGATGACAGAAGCTACCCTACAAGCTTATGAGGACTAAACAGCTTGATTCACGTGAAGCACTTATAGCTGTTCTAAAACAGGAACAAACAGAGGCATGGACACATGAAACAGACTGACGGCTGTCAGAGGGAGGGAAGACTGGATGAAAGCAGGGACTAGCCAAAGAACATATATTCGTAACACATAGACAACACCGTCGTAAAGGCCAGAGGGAAGAGGGGCCAGGGGCTGGGTGGAAGTGGGCAAAGGTGGGAGGGTGGGGACATACATAATAGTGTCAACAACAGACCAAAAAAAAAATGTCCTAACACAAAGCTGTTATTAATTGGAGATACGTCCTAAAGGCCTTTGCCAATCCAAAATTCACCAACACTGTAACTTTATTTTCCCCCTCAAATGAACTCATTAGCTCTCTTCATGTTCCCTTTTTAAGTATTAGGAATTGTTTTCAGGTATATTTTTGATCAAGGATATATGTATTAATATGCATTTATAAATCTATTTAGTTCTTAAGTTCAGTGGTAACATTTCAACCAGTGAAGATCTACGGAGTTCCCCAAATCTAATTAGTTTCAGATACTTGGTAATAGATACTGAAAAATGTAACTGAAAATTTACACAAATCTGATTGAGTCTCAATAGCAAGGAGTATGTGAATATGTGTACATGCACACATACACAAACGACCCATTTTTAAAATCAATTCATCAGTGTGCCGATGCAGGAAACTGTAATAGACACTAAAAAAGTTATACACTGGGTAACACGACACATTACCCAATACAAGGAATGGTTTTGGACTCAGCAAAACACGGACATAAAGCAGTACTGGGGTCCAGCTGAGTACAGGACTCAACTGGCAGCACCAACACTGGGCTTTGGTGGTGGAGGTGAACAGAGTCATGTGCACGCAGCAGCTAGATCTCCTATAGCACTCTGCATAAGGGCACCACCCCTCCTTATATAGTCTTCAATTTTATCTCCATGTCCTCTTTGTTCTCAGGAAGCTACTCGAGAGTATGTTCCACACAAATAAAGTAAATCTAAGACAGACATGATACATGGAAGTGAGAAATCAGGGACTGCAACGGAAGGGAGAGGCAAGCAATCCCAAGATAATGGTGAAGAGATGTTCTAGGACAGATGTGTACCAGCCACAAGAGCAAGTCCAGACTGGATGAAACAGGAACCATTTCTTCAAGATGGGTGAGAACGATGAACTGCTATGTCTGAACGTAAGATATTCATACATCTAGTAGAGTTCTAGGTAGAATTAGCAATAAGTACATGGAAACCTATGCAAACAGAGTCAGTTATTAACTCAAGGAAATGAAAATGCAGTATAAGGGCGATGGGTGGAAAAGGTGAAGAGATTAAACAAGAACAAATAAAACCTCATAGATAGGGACAACAGTAGGATGATTACTAGAGGGAGAGAGGGTTGAGGGGGTTGTAGGTAAGGGGGGGAAGAGGGGAGTGATCAATGGAGATTTGAGTTTGGGTGGCAAACACAATACAATATGAATATGATGTTACAGAATTATACACCTGCAACCTATAAAATTTTATTAACCAGTGTCACCGCAATAAATGAAAATAAAAAGACTTACATACAGTATTAAAATAAAAAATGCATATAGGGTAAGAATACATTCAGCTCTGCACAGCATTGCATAATCTTAATAATGTAAACTTCTTAATCACAGTCAATACTGTAAACAATGTATCGTAATTATGCTGAGGAAAAGGGAGAGATGTGTAATGGTTGGGAAGCAGAATAGCGAAGCTTTATATTACATATTAAAGAACCGCCTTATTTTTAAATTAACTTATATTTTATTGTATTTTCTCCATTACCATCTATCCCCCTTATGCCCTCCTCCCCAACGCAATCACCAGTGTTGCTTTAAATTGGAAACCAACAAAAGCAATATATGAATGTTATTTGGAGATCTGGTCATGAAGAAAAAAAATAAATAATAGAGTTTTAAGAGCTTACTCTGGAGACAGGAAATGGAAAGATATCAAGATAGTGGTGTTTTTCATTTAGAAAAAACATCTGTAGATCTGACTCTTTAAACTATGTGTACATGTAACACTGCTTAAGAAAGAATAGAAAAACAAAAAATCTGGCACAATATTTGGCTCATAAAAATTCAATGTTAATCATTTTATTATAATGACAAGACAGATGACAGTTTTTCCTATCACCATTACACTCATGCTAGAGATAATATTTCCTATATTATAAATGCTACGTGATCTGTTTAAAACACGTTATTTACTACATTTGGAATATTTGGGCATGCTTAATAAAAAATTATAAAACATTCCAATGATTATTTCTTTTTACTAAGCAAGTACCTAATTTTACACAGAACTTTCAATTTTGGTAATGGAAATAATAAAATTATTTCACTTCTTGATATTAAACAGTAATAACACCAATTCCTGGAGACATGCAATACATCAACATGAAACTGGGTTGGCTTGAAAGTCTGTTTAGTTTTTTTCTGTAAAATAAGACATGCTTTTCATTTTCACCAACAGCTTTACTGATTTGGATATTTTGAGGATGTGGGCTATCTCTTGCTATTGACTTTCAGTGGGTAGAAGCCAGGAATGCTGCTAAAAATCTTGGAATGAGTAAAAGACAGCCCTGCAGCAAAGAATTATTTGGCCACAATGTCAATAGCACCAAGAAACTTTGCAAACCACTTTTAACAAATTTGAGCAGTCTCAGCACCTTCTCCCTACAATGCACAACTCTTTTTGCGTTTCGGTTGTGTTTTTACCTTTCTTGAAATAATAAAGCATAAAGTGGCAAAAAAAAGTTGCCTATTTTCCTCCATCTTCAATGTCAAAATGACTGCACGAAAAAATTTACCAATTTTGATTTTTTTTAAAACGCATGCTGATATGAATGCTGTCACAACACAATCTAACAAAATTACTTCGAAAAGTTAAAGAGAACTAAGCACTTCTAGAGCCATCATACAGCCCGATGAACTGTTTGGACAACCCAACAGATTCTGTCATCAGTATGATGGTCTTGGCATTTTATATATTATGTTCCCACTTTAAATTAAATCCTATTTACTCAAAAAAAAAAAAATCCAAAACAGGCAAAGGCAATGAACAGGTAGTTAATTAAAAAAGGAATAGAAGCGGCCAATAACAACACTGACATACTAACCTCATTAGTAATGAAAAAAACAAATTAAAATAAGGTACCATTTTTCACATATATTGGCAAAGGTTAAGTTAAAAAAAGATAGTGTCTATAGCTTATCAGGGCAGGTGGGGGGCAAAAGGTGGTCACAGATATAAAACAAACTGAAAGTATAAGTTGTACAGGCATTCTGGAGAGCAATTTGGCCACACTTATCAAAGCTCTAAAAGTTTAATCCCTTTGAACCAACCATTCTACTTCCAGAAATTTTCTCAAGAAAATAATTAAGCACGTAGCTCAAGTGTGGTTATAAGGATAACCACTGCACCACTGCTTAGAGTCTGCAGGCAATCAAAATGTCTAACAAAGAGGAAAAATGAGTAAATTGAGGCCCACCTCCCTTGTGGCAGGCAGTGGGCTTCCCCTACATGCCATTCTCCCACCTTCACCTTAGCTTCTACTTTACAGAGTCTATTTCCCCCAGAGGGTAAGGATCGGCTTGGTGATCTGATCTGAGTCAAGGGAAACCGAAGGGAAATCTTCTGCGGACTTGTGGGAAATGTGCTCCTCACTGACAAAACTGAGATGTGAGGGGAGAACACAACAGCCTTTCCTGACCTGAAATGCAGTCTTATGAAGATGTGAAGCTGGAAGTTATAGCAGCAGCTCTCATGACCACGAAACAAGCCTAAGGCAAAACAACCTGAGGCGGAGGCAAAAAAGTGTCCTTAATGACGCCTCTGAACTGTGTGTTGTACAAGATAATAAACGTTCTTGGTAACTCTGAATTAAATTTGGACACTGTTACCTCTGGTCAAAAGCATCCTAACTGGTATCAGTCATACAAGAGAATACTTTAGAGCCAGTAACAGGTTTGCCACAGAGTTATTTATGAATAGTAGACATGCAATTAAGAGAAAAAAAATTTACAAAATAGTATGTTCCCATTTTTTATTTAAAAAAAAACAAGTATATTAATATGAATTCATTTGCCAAGAAAAAGGTTTTAAAAGTAGTTATCTCTGACATAGTTATGTCCAAAGAACTGGAATTTAAATGTTTCCTTATTGCATATTTGCATGCCTCAGAGATACTGTGGGTTCAGTTCCAAACTACCATAATAAAGTAAGTCACAATCTTTTTGCTGGTGGAGGGTCTTGCCTTCCATTTGTAAAAAATGTTAACACCTGTGAAGCACGATAAAGTGAAGCACAATACAGCAAAGTGCTTTAAAACAAGGCATGCCTGTATCACTTAAGATTCTGCCACCCTTTTCTATTTCTTCTGTCAATTCAATGCAATTCTGGGAAAAAAGAAAAGGTAAACATATTCTGCTAAGCTATCTTGAACTGGGACTATGCTTTTTTAATGGAAAGTTGTTTTCTTTTTCAAAGTCTTTTGTGAAATAAAACGATAGTATCAGGCATTTATTTTTGTGAGTATGGAATATTACAAACAGTTTTCATTTCCCTTTGTTACTTATCATATCATGACTTTGTACCATTTCGTATCAGAATTTCTTCTGTGAAGCAAAAACAGTCCCAAAATGAAGGATCTTCGGGGGTCATAGGAACAGCAGATGATATTAAGTCATTATAGGTAAGAATAGTAAACTGCCTCTGGGATGGTTTAGAATCGTCTTGAGATGAAGCCTAAAAGGGGAAAAAATAGATTATCTCACTGTTACACTGCATGTTAATCTTATGATCAATTTTATAATTAGGAAAATAAGAAGACCAAATTACATTTCAGTAACACTAAAGTGTTAACACAGTAGGATTTCTAACTGTTTTTACTATTAGTGTTGCCAATATAACAAATTCTGAAAAATATGAAATAACCTGATTGTCACTTTTTGTTTATCACAATAACCTATGATATTTGTTTAAAATGTAGACTTACTGAGCCACACATCCAAGCATTCTACTTCAGCAGATGAGTTAAAAGGAATCCCAAAATATATAATAAGAATGTGGTTATTCTGATAGAGGGGGGCTACCAGGCAAATTTTTGAGAAATATTTTAGAGAGTGAATCTGATAAAATTCCCACAAGCATGCAGAGATGCAAAATTTCTTTAAGAAATTATTCATTCAACACTAAACTTAATCTGTATTTCGCACTCTGAGGTAGAACCCTGGTTGACAACCGAACCCTGCAGACCTTCTTTAACACCCTATGCATTCCTATCACGGCACTACTTGGATTTTATACAGTACTTTAAACAAGGTACCTATTTAATGTGATTTATGTCTCTCGGATATGCTCATATGGTTGTTATCTCAATTTTATAGATGGAGAAACAGGTTTAGGAAGATCAACCACTTTTGCACAAGCTCACAACACAGGTTTAAACGGTTGTCCTCTTCCTGTTATGTCACTGCTGCTGCACAAACAGGCTCTCTCCAGGGAAATGCAAAGGAAGCACCAAATGTGCAAATGTTACAGAAAATACAAAGTTCTATGGAAATATAAGGTATTCACAGAGAATGTAGGGTTGAGGTAAAATAAGATAGGTAACAAGGACAGGTAACTTTGGTCAGAACATCTTCAGATAATAAGAATCAATTTTAACATGCCATTCCTATTTTTTTAATTTTAGAATTTTTGTAAGAATTTATTTGAGCCTAATTGATGATATATGCCAGGGAACAAGATTTCAAACGTTCCCCCTCTTTGTTGGTTTTAGACATTGCAAAAAATCTCTTCCCAATTTTCAATCATTAACTTTGTCAATAAACTTGTTTGAACAGAAATCCTTAATTTTGGTATGATCTAACCAGTCCATTTTACTTATTGTTTGTGAACTAAAAAAAAAAAATTGCTAAGAGTTTACTTGGGCCAACCTATGAACATATGCAGGGAAGCAAGATCTTGGATGCTCCTCATGCCATCCCTTTTTAAGGAAGGTAATCTATGAGATGTTTTAATCTTTGTTAATCTCTCTAAGGCATGGTCTATAGACTGAGCTATTTTTCTAGAAATAATGATATATATTGATCACACCACAGTTTCTGACATGGATTCTGTAAAAAATGATATGTATATAGTTTCAATTATTATAACATTGTCAGTATTCCTTATATACTATTGCAGAATCACAACTATATGCAGGTTAAGAGTCCTTGACCCTAAGAGTTTTTTTGTTTTTTAATTTTCTTACTCACTAATTAACAGTAAAAATAGACTGTAATTAAAGAATTGGGGCTGATGCTGTACGACCATATGATACAAGGCCTCTCATATGTTTGATACTGTAACTTTGGGAATAATTAAGAATAAAAGGGGGAAGGGGTTCAATTTGCTGGGTAATTCCATTACCACCAGTCAACTTGGTACCCTTACATTAAGATGTTCCCTGGGAAACAAACCACAGTTATGACGACTGCAGTAGTGATTTCCTTGAATTTCAACTGAAACTGTGAGTAGTTGGCAGCATTACTGAAGTTTTTTCTTCATAATATCTAAGTATTTGAAGTGAAGCAGGTAACATGCTTCTTATAATTTTCTGTAAAATCTCTGATGATCTCACGAATTTGATAACAAAAAATACTTCTAAACTTATAATCTAAAAACAAACAATCCCCCCCCCCAACTGACATACAGTCGCCCCTCGCTGTATCGCAGTTCACGCATTGCAGCCTCACTGTATCGCGGGTGTACAGTGAGGGACAACTGTACACTTCACTGGTGAGTGCCCATGTAGAATTTTATGTTGTTAAAATTAGGTAGGTTTAAGAGTGTAGAAAGTGTTTAAGAGCATACGAAGTGTTTATAAGATAAGAGTGGGAAAGGTTTACAGGAGTGTTGGAAGGGTTTATAAAGCCTTTAAAATATATATAAATAATAAAATAAATATAACACCACTACTTCATGGATTTTCACTCATTGCGGGGGGTCTCTGGAACGTAACTCCCATAATAGGTGAGGGATCACTGTAAACCAAATGATTGTTTCTATCAGTCAGGAACAAACTCCGTATTGATTCATGCTTTTAAAATAAAAGTCATAGAAATCTTAAAATCTTACATCCTGATGTCTAGATCCATCGGGTTTCCGAAGAGCTACTGCAACAAAATGGTGCTCATCTATTTTGCTTTCCTGAAAAATAAAACATAATACAGATTACAAAATATGTAAACTTAGATATTTAAATATATAAACATCTTTAAAATCTCAACTTCTCTCTCTACATACACACACACACACACATTCCCCCACTTCCACTGACCATTTCAGAAGAAGTCAAATACATTTTATCCCTTTAGTCTGAAATATTTCAATATGCATTTCCTAAGTGGAATATTCTCTCACATAAGCAGAGTAGTTAATAACTTTGGCTAATAATACGTTGAAACTGTCCTTAAATCTGCCATCTGTGTTCCAAATTTCTGAGCTAACCCAATAACGTCCTTTACAGCATCCCCCCACTCTAATGCAGGAGGCAGTCTAGGGTCAAGTGCTGCATTCAGTTATGTCCTGCTAGCCTTTCTTTTGACATTAATATTGTAAAATACAAGCTATTTCTCCCCTTTACTTACAGAACACTGCTCATTTGGGGCTTTCCTGATGTTTCTTAAAAATTTACATAATACATTCTAAACCAGAGTCTTACAGAGATAAAGTGTCCTAACTAGAGGTACCTTTAGCCATCTGCCCTCACTGGTAATGTTTTAATTTTACATATGCTTAAAATTAACATATAAAATCACCTTGCAACACTGGTTTATAAACACTTAGTTAACTACATACTATAGCCTACAGGAAATCTTGGTGGAATTTTATAGGTAAGACAAAGAACATGCAACTTTCTATTTTCCCCTATGTATGAGACTAAAGGGGAGGGGAGGGGAGGGAAGAGAGTAGGGAGCCGGCTTTTAAAAGACAATTGATACTGAAGCTGCTACCAGAGAGAAGTATGAATGACTATTTAAAAAAAAAAAAACAATCAAAAATTTCACTAGAAAGCCACTTTACTAAGACATTCTTCCACAAGACATCAGCTGAACTAGGAAACTACAACAAAAAACTGTTACTTATATCCAAATTAATAAAAACTAAAATTCAATATGAATTTAGAAAAACATTTAAAGAAGAAAAGTATATAATTAGCTGCAGTATGTATCAGAAAATATTTAATATATTATTTCCCCTTTAGCGAAAAACAAGCTCACAATATTATAGACAAATCTATTATTTTTTTTAAAGATTTTATTTATTTATTTTTAGAGGGGAAGAGAAGGAGAGAGGGAGAGAAACATCAATGTATGGTTGCCTTTCATGCGTCCCCTGCTGGGAACCGGCCAGCAACCCAGGCATGTGCCCCGACTGGGAATCGAACCGCAATCCTTTGATTCACAGGCCCACGCTCAATCCACTGAGCTACACCAGCTAGGGCCAAATCTATTCTTTTTGACACATGGTTGTCCTCCCATTCTTTATAGTGAATATATTAATAATATAAACACCATAACAGAGATATTTTGAGTACAATTACTTTTGGAAAACCCCTTAGACCAGCATTCTGCAGTGTCTGTATCTTAGGCAAATATCAGAGATTGGGATCGTGGGCAATAACCAGTTTTCTCATTCAGTGTCTGTCCACTAAAATGCCAAGCCTTTTCTGTCCTTAAGGCTTTACCTTCCATTTCAAATATGCTGTTTTCCTGAATAGTACTAAAATCACTAGGCAAATATTTATAAAATCTTCTTTTTTATGTAGTTTTCACTTATGGTGCTCTTTTGGGTCACCAAGGAAATAAATGCCTTTTTTCCCTCTTAGTATTTGGAATTTTACCACATGTCCTATGTGGCAGTGTCCTTAAGTTCTTCTTAGATTAGGGCAGTATCCTTAGCCTGCTCTGTCATTTAATTCGGTGCCAGGAGATACCATACAGTTGTATACCTGGAGTTAAGGTTGTTATATATGTAGCTTCAACCCCTGCAGGCATTCTTTTAATAGGCAGGCATTCTGCCTATAGAAGTAGGGCTTTTTTTTAAAGCTTAGCTAAATCAGTTCTTACAATATGAAAAAGAGAATGTAAGAGTCTAAAGTAGTTTAGTTATTCACTGGCTATATGCATTAACAAAAACCATAGTCTTACGAGGGATTTGTCCTGTGTCCAACCCAGGCAATAGTATTTTCTCAAATGGCCTGTTACTTAAAATTTAGTCACCAAGTACATACGGGAAAAAACCTAGCCATGGGGCTAAATGGTGTTTGGTCACGACTCTGGCTATTTCAGGAAGTAGTATCTACACAGCAGAAGCAGACAGTAGCCAAGTTGTCTGTCCTGTGCAGGTCTTTCTCCATTTAACTTGGAGTTAAATGTAAAAAGTGGGGAAGGGCTCAACCTTCTTTGTACTTTCTTCTCAGTTTACTAAAGGCGTGAGGCAACACAGTGTAGGAATAGAAGGCAACTTATTTTCTCAACCTTTAAACAAGAACCTTTAAACAAGTTCTAACAATTCATTTTTCTCTTTTCCTGGATGAAATCTTGAACAGAGCTCCCAAACGACATTTTTAGTCGCTCTCACTTTTCAAATTTCCCCTCAATCTAGGTGCTTTGCCCTATTTGATCCAAAATCAGTTTTATAAAGAGCCCCCCCCCATTTATCCAGCTTATATCTAATTCAGGTTTGGAAGCCTCCAATGGGGAGAGAAATTGATTTCATCTCTTCTAAACTCCAGACTCCACCCCCCTCCACCCTCGTTAACTATGCTGTCTCCAGTTCTTTCAGCGTGGGTGAATTCGTGTGTATGAGTGCAAATGCAAAGGGGTGAAAAAAGGAAGGAAAGGGCAGTGAAGATCATTCAAGCCAGGGTTGTACGCTGAACTCAGAGCCCCACCTCAGCTGTGTGCCCAAAAGGCTGGCTCTTTACCGAGTAGGGTAATTTGAAGATGCCCTGAAAAGACCTTCCCATCTGCATTCCTCAGCTCTAGGTACGCTTCCCTTAGTTCTATACCCATTATTCTTTCCTCAATCACTAGTTTCTGGCTATCCATACCACCGGACTCATTCTGTTATGTTCACTCTCTCTCCCCCCTGAGCCTGTTTATAGTGTAATAAATAATCCACATTTAAATGTATCATGTATCACACATAAATCCATACACGGTTTTCTTACTTTTGCAACTGGTACACTGAATTGCCAAAACACTCAGGGACATTTAAAGAACTTAATTATTTTCCATGGCTGCCTTCAAATATGTCCTGATGAATCTCCTGAACAAGCCTTTAAGCAAACCCCACATCTCTTTGGTCACTTTAGGCGTAAAAAACCCTGTTTCACTCCTAGAACAAATGCAGAACCCCCTCCCCCCAGCCTCACCTTGCTTTTCGAATCTTTCTCTTCCACTCTGGTTTCCTTAAGGTAAGTGGAACAAGGAAGAGGATGGGAAGAAAGGGGCAGAGTAATGACCAATGCTGTTTAATTCAGTTTTTAGGACCCTGAACATATGAAGTATTCAAAGACTAGTTTATCTCACCAGGCTGGCATGTGGGGTTCTTTCAAAGAACACTTCCAGTTCTTTAGCCTTCCCTGTACCACTTCCCAAAGCTAGTTCTGCATTCAGGCCTCCTATAATTCCAGCCCTTATCAACTAATAGAGTAGACTGCCCGCTGCCTCTTTCTTTTGGAGTTCCTTGGGGTCCTTTCAAGATGCTTCAAGCCCAGTGGCTACCACTTTCCACAGCATTCATTTGGTCCTCAGAGATCTCTACCACCCACAAAGGTGAGGCACGGCTGACTCAGCCACGCCTGTACGCCTCTCCCTGCTACTAGGCCTACTCCACCATTAAGAATGAAGGATTCCCCCAGAGTGAAATGGCTAAGGTTCAACCCTCTGAGTATTAAAGATAATTTTGTTTACAGTTTTTTAAAGTTGTACTCTTAAAATAACCTAAATACAATTACTCCTTACTTGATAAAATTCCTACCTTACCTGGTTTGTTAGCGGTTTTGACACATATCTCATTCTCAAAATACTTTCTGCCCCTTGGATCCACCAACAAACACCACTCTCTTAGTTTATTTCTAACTATTTTTGATGATTCTTTTTGTCTCCTCCACACCTGCTTTTATTATTAGTACTCTCAGGATGCTAGGCTAGGGCCTTTCTCTCTTCTAATATAGGTAATTTCTCTTTCCTAATACAGCTGCAACTTTAAATCCCGAGGCTTCAACTACTAGGCCTGTTATGATGACAATGGTTTCTCTCTGACCTGGCCCTTCATTCTATTCATCCGACACCTCACACTCATATCTGACATGTTCCCTAGAATAATCCAGTGTTTCAATACTGGGTCCTATGAAAGTCACAGAATTGATCATAACATCTTTGATATCTCACTTCCTTAATCTCCAACCAGAGACAACTTGTTCTTAAAATACAAATCTGATCTTATCACTCTCTACTAACATCTGTTAAATTCTTTTCAGAATAATAGTGAATAGTCCCATTTTATCTACTCATCACAAATTCTTCTTTTTTAAAATTTTATTTATTTATTCTTAGAAAGGGGGAGGGAGGGAGGGAGAAAGACAGGGACAGAAATATCAATGTGTGGTTGCCTCTTGCAGGCCTGGCCTGCAACCCAGGCATGTGCCCTGACTGGAAATCAAACCAGCGACCCTTTGGTTCTCGCAGGCTGGTGCTCAATCCACTGAGTCACACCAGCCAGGGTGACTCATCAATAATTCTTTATTTTGGGCACCAAACTTCTCTGAAGATAATTCAAGTGATTATTGCAAGAACAACCTCATTAGTATACAACCTATTTGCTTGGCTCTGGACACCTGACACAAGCTGGACCAATCACAGTAGACCACTTCCCTGGCTACAGTGACTAGTCAGAAGATAAGCACTAGACCCAAGCGAGGCCAGGGAGCTCAGGGTTTGGAATAGAGAGGGAGTCCACCAATCTCTGTGGGGTTTTATCCTGTTACATGAGTGACAGGCAGCCATATTTCCAGCTACACAAACCACTGAAGTTAAGAAAGCTGATGTACAAAATAAGAAACAAAGGTGGGAGAAAACTGAAGCCAGGATACATAGAAAGGCAAAGGCAAAATATAAGAGTTCTGAGTTTCCCAGTCCCTAATTCTAGTTAATTCTGAGACCCAGTTACATGAAACACTCCAGCAGCCTCTATGGTATCATTTGGCTTAAATGAGTTTATGTTGGATTTCTCTCGCTAGCAACTAAAAATTGCTATACTAGTAACAGAAATCAAGTACAGAAAGAGAACAAAATCTTTAACTGACCCATAATACCCACTGCATGAAATTATCAATCTGACCTGGAATGCCCTCATCACACAACAGTCCAGATGGCTTCCTTCGGCTGTTTATACACACAAAGCTCTTTCTACTCCAGAGCCTTTTTCTTCCCATTTTTCTTAACTCACTACGACTAATCTTTCATGTATCAGCTTAAATGCTGTATGTCCTCCTGGTACCCTTGATTTTACCTTCTGAGCACTGGGACTAGATTCCGGTTGTGTTTCATTTCAATGGCTGGCCTCCTCAAATCAATCTCACACACATGCACAAAATAAGCACATCCTTGCAGTTACAGCAATTTTGATAAATTTGTTACCTCAAATGCCCATTCTTTTTCTTCTTCTCCATCCAGAAACAAGCGCGTTTCTTTATAAACCTGGCCTATATCCAGGTTTAATGGGGATATGTCAAATTCAAGCCGTTGCAATTCAAATCCTAGTCCAACACCTATGGCCTTTATGAAGCTTTCTTTCAGTGCCTAAGATACAGAAAAACATTTTCTCTGAGAGCTTTAAGTAGATAAAAATTCTCCATAAAAAGCTATTAGGCCTAAAACATCTGGATCTTTAACTTTATACTATAGTATGTCTACAAACTATTTTTTCCCACTGTTATAATAAGCATGAAGACAAACCAGCCATATGACCTTAAAGAAAATCATTTAAACTCCCTGGACCTCCGTTTTCTCATGTGTAACATGCAATAATAATAGGTCTTATGTATACATAAAAATCATGCAGTTTCCAACTAATGACCAATTTAACTTCAAACAGTATATGAATTACCAGGTAACTAAAACTTTTTTTGCTTCTATTTTTTGCAAAGATAATAAAATCATCCCAACCAAGCATTTACTCTCAAAATTAGAAAGAAATTATACCCAATTCCTATAAAACATATCCAGCTGAGTCCATTCATCCTTAAAGCTTCTGATTGTTTCCCATTCTTTGTTGGTAAACTTTCTTTTCATAATATGAAAGAATTCTGAAATTGAACCACGACCTGTCAATTAAGGAAATAAAGAATTAAAAAGAGCTGTTCTATTACCAAATCTGTTAAAGACAGCACACAAAAGAGAACCACAGGGCAAGCTTACATTTGAATAATCACAATAATCCTCAACAAAATATCAGCAAATCCAATTAAGCTGGGAATTAAAAGAGTAATATACAACGATGAGCTGGGGTCAGCTCAGGAAAAAGACAGGTCAACAGGAATAGTGAAATCCCATGAATTACTAAATGTTTAATGTCCTCCTATGATAAAACAATATATATCATAGATGCCCTCCCAAATTGGTAAAATTTAGCAGCCAAACCTGTTATAAATTTTAGTTAAGAGGAAATTCCTATACGTGACAAAATCATAAATCCTTAAAAACTCTTGGAGCAATTCTATTTTGGGGTTTAGAATTTTACTTTGCTATATGACAGGGAAAAAAAGGAACAACTTCTTTATTATAATTTCTTAAAAAGGGGTAAAAGGTGGAAAAGCGTTCTTTTACTGAAAGTTATCACAATGAATAGAAAATATACTTATTTCCTTCAAAATAATTAATGTTTTCTAATATGACTTCTCCAAATAAAACAAATTTCAATTTCTATTCTTTTGGGGATACTATAAAATAGGCTCATTTAAAAAAATCTGAAATCTATCTCTAACTCCACTGTTCCATAAACAATATACTACATAGTATTTTAAAAACAATTGACAAAAAGTACAGAACTCAAAGGACCTGACTCCCAGAGTTAAGGGTTAAGACACAGATTAAAATACAGACAATGCCTTTTGTTTTATACTTTCCAAAATATTATAATTACATGTTTGTCTCTCTTTACTATTATAAGGCAGAAACTTTCTATCATCATCTGTTTATTCTACAGGCACGCAGACATGTACAAATATTACACAAAAAGGTATTGAACTAATGATGAAAAACTCATCAGTCATGGTTCTTGCTCTCACACACTTCCAGCTTAATGACCTATCAGAAAGGCTGGCCCAAGGCACATGAGCATGCATGTTTACTCTATGAATAACTGAATGTTTATTATTTGGTAAATTATTTCCTAAATGTTTTACTGCCCTAAATGTTTTAATGTTATTATTTTCCAGAAAACCTCTTGAACATAGTCCCTCTGCAGATTCTGTTCATGTACCTTGCCTATTCTAACTCCAACTCCCATTTCTTAAGATACCCAACTCCAAAATCTGACATTCTTAACTGAACGACTACAACTCTAAAAAGGGACATCTGCCAACATAGCCATGTCTGGGAAAAAGATGTCATATCCCCCTACTTCATGCTTAACTGGCATTTAATCACTAACTTCTCCATGAGAATTCAATAATCAGCACTCCTATTATTATAATTTTCACTCTAAAAATGCCTAAGTGCTAGATGCTGGAAGTTATGATAAGCAAAATACACATGAACCTTATCTTTATAGGGAGTTTATAGTTTCTCCTTCAAGCAGCGACTTTCTTCCACCTTTTTTATCTCATGGCACACATAAAGCAATTACTAAAATTCTGCAGTAAACCAAAAATACATTTTTTGCCAAACTGCTGAAAAAACAGATATAATTTTGATTCATTCATGCCAATGGGTAGAGGTCAGTGCCCCTGACTAAACAGTCAGGTACTGCATGTTTTAAAAATTCTTGCGCCACACGGGTTGAAAATCACTGTTCTACAGCAAAGAAGTAACTTTCCCATAGTTATCTCAAGGGTAGAAAATATTAAGAGCCAGCTCCGCTCAAAATTAACATTCCCCCACCATATCCATTTCAAAATAGTCAAAAGTCTACTCTTGTTTAGCCAGGAAATATTTCCAAAAACCCTACAACAACAATAAAATAAAAAATAAAAAATAAATTAAAAAAATAAATTAAAAAAAACCCTACAACAATATGTGGTCCTTTATTTCAAGACAAAGGTCCTCATTTATTTTCAAATTCATTAGACTCATTTAATCATCTGTTGTCTCCTTAGCCCTCTCCTCTTCAAGGAGAATAACATTACAATACATTTTATGAATTCAGTTAGTGTCTACTGTTTTTTACAGTTAAAATGATTATTTCCTAAAAGTAGCCTGGCAAAGCTATAAAGTCATTTCATGCAACAGTACTGAAATAAGAGTCCCAGGGCTCGGTTCGATTCCCAGTCAGGGCATATTCCTGGGTTGCAGACTGGTTCCCTGCAGGCCAGTTCCCAGCAGGGGACGCACGAAAGGCAACCAGACATTGATGTTTCTCTCCCTCTCTCCTTCCCCTCTAAAGATAAATAAATAAATAAAATCTTAAAAAAAAAAAAAAAAAAAAAAGGGTCCCAGGGCTATGAATCCCTTTGATAGTCTGGTGCTTATTCCTTAAGGCCCTTAATAAAAACTATCTTATTAAAATGTAAGTATCACTAGTATATTCTGACTTGACAAATTACACAGCAGAGAAACTACAGCAATCAACCTTGCATAAATGATCAAAGTACATCTGAAGACTTTAAATAATGGAAGCACTATAACTATATAATGAACTCTGTCCTCCTGAATAGATTCTAGCACAAACAGTGTAAATAATAACAAAGGGAAGAACAGCTACCTTGGATTTGGAAAACAGCATATGTAAGTTGAGTGGAACAGTAGTTTAACACAACACTACCCAAAAAGCCGAAAGTTTAAAAAGATATACTTGTTGTCATCTACAAAGTCAACTTCTTTGTTGGTTTCTTCAAGTTATAATTTCATAACACTCTGATTTTTAACTAAATATAACGGGGCAATCAAGGAAAAATTTAAATATGTATGCTAATAATAAACTGATTAACATAAAAAGCAATCTAGCACAATCACTGGAAAGCAATCACATAACTGATTATGTGCAGCAAAAAGTATCTGATATGAGTGCATTTTCATACTTTTGAGAGCATCTTATTTATTTCACAAAATAAGAGATGTGACAGCAACAGAAAAAGATGGTTTTGTAAGTATTCAGCCGAAGCACGACAGCACCACACTGTGGCGTTACAGTGGAAATACACAGCGGGTGAGTACTCTTTCTTTTAAGTACTTTATCTGGGAAATTGGAATTTAAAAACTTTGGTAGAAATACCAAATAGTACACTGTCCCTCAAACTAACTGAAAACAGCATAATTACTGGGTATATAAGTTGGCGAAGCCGCCTATAATACCATCACATATTCATGACATTACATGTCATCTTCATTCTAATCATTCTATTATTGCACATGAAAAAACTTAAGTATACACATAGAACAGTCAAAAATGACTGAAAATGTATACAGAACCATAACCAAGTTTTAAAAAGTAGATCCCTTATCTTATAGTTTAATCTTTAGAGAAAGCAATGTTAGATATTGACTAAATGTTCCCAGTAATCAACTAATCAAGGTCATACGCCTACTGGAAGCATATTAAACACACAGCAGTAAGGTAAAACAACATAATACCCCTAGGTGCTATTGCAAGCCTATGGGGGAAAAAAATTCTACAAGTACCAGAACCTTAAGGCCAACCAACATCAATCTCTTTCCAAAACAATATATCAGCATCTCAGTTAAAGTTTGCCACTCTTCTCCCATTTGTTTGCTTCAAGTAATGAAATTTAGCTTTGGATAATGAATTGTACTAGAAATTCTAGTAGTTTCATTCACTAAGTACTGAATTACTTGTACTCTTTCTTCCATAGTATGTGACATTCTTCTAAAATTCCAATTAGTATATATACAATAATGCTTGACTTATCAGCTCACTTGTCTGGGAATTTTATCCAGATACAAACCCAGAATAATAAAAAAGAAGTCTGAGCTGCTAAAAAGGGTTTCACACACCACCACAAAGCATGTAGTGTGTTAACAAAAGAGCCCCTTAAGCGCTCCATAAAAGTAGCTCATCACAGAAAAAATCATGACCGAGGCTTGAAACTCTCCACCACTGAAGCAGTCCTAAATTGCAGTTGCTTTTCGTATTTTTATTTAAATAGTATTTATCAATACCTACATGTATCAACACATAGAGGCAAGAAAAGGGCCTACAGAGTTAGGGCTACGTAGCTACAAATGTGCTATCTTTCAAGTAGAAGGAAGGACTGTGAAAGCAGGGTAAAGGGGCAAAAGGGGGTGTGGGGGTCAGTCACCCTGAAGAGCCAGAGGACAGAGCAGGGAGCCAACAAAGGATTAGCCTCAGGCCTTGAGGTTACAAATTACTTCATGTAATTTGTTCTGCAGGCTTTAGAACTTTGTCAGAACCCATGAGCCTTTTTTCTCCCAACTTCTCCCTTTTAAAACGGGAATGTCAATCCCATGCCTGCCCCACCAATGTACTTTAGAAGCAGGTGATCTGTGCGCTCTTACAGGTTCACTGATGGAAGAGGAATTTTGCCTCACATTCCACCATACCCAGAGTCTCACCCATACCTCACTTAGATGATTCAGAGAGTGAGATCTGGAACTTTTTGAGTTGGTATTTAGATGAGATTTAGGTTTTCAAGTTTATGCTGTAATAGTTTAAGACTTAAGGATGCTGGGATGGGGTCAATTTATTTTTATGTGAGGATATAAATTTGGCAGGGCCACAAGATAGAATGTAGTGGGTTGAATAGTGTCACGCAAAGTTCATGCCCACCCAGAACCTCCAAATGTGATCATATTTGGAAATAGTTTTTTTTTTGCGGGTGTAATCAAGTCATAGTAGATTAGAGTGGCCCTATTATCCAATGACTGGTATGCTTACAAGAAAAACTATTTGGACACACGGAGAGCCTATAGGGGAAAAGGTCATGTGAAGATGAAGGTGGAAAATGAAGTGAGAGAGGTCCGAGCCAAGGAATGCCAAGGATTGCCAGGAAACAAAGTAGAGGCAGAGGAGTCTTCCCCAGAACCTAGAGGGCACAAGGCCCTGGCAACACTTTCATTAACTTGTGGCCTTCGTAACTGTCAGACAATAAATTTCTGTTGTTTTAAGACATCAAGTCTGTGGTACTTT